TAACATCACTAATGAAGAAATAGCCCTTCCAAGCATGACTCACCTATGAAACGATAGGCCCAGCATAGGAGGCTCTTGTACTAACGATCTGACCTGCACATCGATATCATCAAGGATTCAGAAACGCACGTCGTCGTTGCTCTCTCAAGCCGCCTGCAACTGAATCGTGGTGATGCGTGCCTACTTGCAATTACATAAAGTCCTCCAGGATCCACCATGGAAATGGATCATCGCCTGGCTTCTGCAATGAAGTGAATCCTAGCACGGTCATACAGTCACAACCTGTTAGTGAGGGACTTCAACCTGCACGCAACTGAAAGCCCAGCTATGCTGTGCAACCAGTTCAAAGCGGACTTGCAATAAGCAAACACCAACGTACCGCTATAGAACCACGTAACCGCTCCCAGGAGATTCATAACTGGCGAAGAACCACCTGATTAGACTAGGTGTTCGCCATCGAGGAGCTAATGATTGATGCAGTATACACAAGTGCACCGCTTGGTCGTAGCGATCACGCGACGCTACCGTTCCGGCACATCTGCTGCGCGGAATACAACTATGAAAACAGCGAGGAAGTTCACGTCGTCACCCGTTAAGGTGCACTCTCAAATTTCCTTCAAGAAACCAACTGGTCCTTCCTAGCTGAACAGCTTCCCGACATCGTCTGGAAGGAATTTGTCACCCTGTTCAGCAGGCTAGGGGCAAGTGCGTCTGAAACCAAAGCTTTGCGCTTGAAACAGGTGAAGTCCTTCCTGAGAAGTCAGACACGAAAATACATGGCCGTAAGGGATTCGGCCTGGCGTGCTTTTAAAGTCGGTACGGATGCACAGGCATGGGACCCCATGTAACTCAACGAAATCAGTGTCAAATTGCTTCGCAATGACAAATTCGCACGCTGACAAGACTGAGCGACGAAATTCACTCTTAATTTTAGGATACCATACAGGCAAGTAAACAAGTTCCGGGGAGTGCAGCACGTGATCCCAATTATAAGTGCAGCAGACAGTCTGATGGGAACTAAGCATGATGCGCCGAACAAGCTTCGGCAACATTATACCCGAACTTTCCGAGGTAAATCTTCACCTCACTAGTACAAGTCATAGCCCACTCCACCCCAGGATTAAGCCACGCATGATTCACTGCTGCAGAGGTGATGAAAAGGCTATTGTCCTTACACGCGCACAACTCTCCTGGTGTGGACGACATCAGACCGAAGTCAGTCGCCATTACCCTTGCCGAACCGTTGGATTGGTTCTTACAACGAAGCTTTGTGAAAATGCAGGTTTAGGTCAATGGAAACAAGACATAATTACTCCTCTTTTCAAGTGGGAATATTGCGGAGTCTTCTAACTACCGTCCAATTATCCTCCTCCTAGTCCTATCCAAAGTTATGGAAGGAATAATCGCAGAAGCGCTCATGGGATATCTTGAGGACAACAACATCATAGTGGCACAGTAGCATGGATTCTAACTAACTTGGTCCTGCATCACATCCTTCTTACTATCCCGAACAAGCTGGAGGAAGTCAGCCGTGAAAACGGTTATCCCGATAGATTTATCCTAAGGAACCTCCAAGAAAAACCGAAACCAGTGGCAGTGTTAATAGCGCCAAAGAAAGAGTTATTTATTCGCTTACCATTCAAAGGGGACGTGGCTACCGAGCGTCTAACCAGAAGCCTTTCGGCCGCGGTAAAGTTGACCTTTCCAGCAGCCTCGTTGAAGTGCGTGTTCTCAACGGAACCACTCATTCGTTCACAAGGACAAGCTGCCGATGCTGACCACATCAATGGTGATTTATCAATTCGTGTGCGCCTGTGGCGCGACGTATATTGGTCGACCGGCGCGGCAGTTATCGAAACGCGTGAACGAACATTGCCCTCGCTGGCTTCGTCAAGGGGGCACCGGAACCATTAGTAGCGCCATTCTGGCCCACATTGTGGACACTGGCCATGAAGTGGGTTGGAAACGCGCTTTCCGAATTGTTTACAAGGTTCCACCACATCAACGAAAGGTTACCGCCTTCGTACGCTTGCGACAGCTGAAGCAATATGCATTCGATTGTTCCAGCCGTCCTTATGCTCACAGAAGAAGCTGGTCCAGGCTCTCCAGCTTCCCTGGCCAGCGAAGATGGAAGACGCCCAGGTCGACTGCCTTCGGTCAGACGCGGTAGCGAACATCTAGCCCTCTAAGACCTAATTCGTTTTTTTCCACTCTGACATTGACCTTCCCGTGAGCAATTCCTTTTGAACTAACTGGGTCGATTTCTCTTTCTAGCCTCCATATGATTGTAATGGTGTGATGATGAATCATTGAAAGCAATTGCTCACCAGATGGTCTTTTGTTCTATAGACTTAAATGGGAATTTTCAAGTTACTTCGATCACAAATCGACGAACAAGTCAGCGGATTAGATTGGACCCAGCAGCGCACTGACGAAGTCACCTCGCTTGGTGATGAAACGTTTGCATCCCAACTCCGAAGCTCGGCGAACAAGCGAACTCAGGAACGATCGACCCGAGCTACCAGTGCATCAAGTCAATTTGAGGCATATAATGTTTTATCTCAGTAAAGTTCATTTCAGTGTTTCTTTACCTACATCCCGATTCAGTCGGCAAAAAGGCCCAGAAGCAATAGCAGTTGCATCCTGTATATATACACAGTCAGTTCTTCACTACCACAGTATCCTGAAGATCAGAGCTCGTTGGAAGATAGTCAGCTTATCGCGAAAAACAAGCACTTTGTCACACGTAGATTTGAACTTTTTTCTTTGACTCGATACCTCAAAATCATCCTCACTTATCAACGAACCACACACAACAATGAAGAATTTGTGGATTAATTGCGCTCCATGTCAACTGCTAAGCCCTGAACAGTTGACCTGAATGTTCGTTAAATCGGAGGTTTCCAAATAAAGCTATTGACAGAGCTAGTGCTAAGCGATGTTACCATGTTCATACGATTTCTCTCGCTCATTTTCGCTTTTCTGGTGGTTGTTCGATTCTTTGGTAGCTCACCATGGCTTGATGTCATCCGTGAAGAATAGGAAATCGGAAGTAATTGCCCTCGTCAGATGGTTTATGAAAATCAAGTGTAGACCGGCCCGAGCACCGAGTCTTGTGGTACGCTGCACTCCACCTCAATTGCGTCGGATAGGGATTCTCGTACTCTCACTTCCAGCCGATGTACGTGCAGGAAATCGCCTATCCAACGCAGCAGTAAATGACCAATGCCATAAATGCTGAAGTCTATGAAGGAGAATTCGGTGGTCTAATGGATGAAATGCTTTTGAGAATTCTGGGTATAGTGCATCGACTTCTGCTCCACCATCAACTGCTTCAGTCCAGCTATTGCTTGCAATTAGCAGGTTCGTAGTGCATGAGCGATTATGTCGGAAGCCATGTTGCTCTGGTGCCATTATCTTTTGATTTTCCAGATACTGCGTGAGTGCACCAATGATGATAGACTCCATAACCTTGGAAAGCACAGGGCGTAGCGTTATAGGACGGTAATTAGTTGGGTCAGTGGGACTACCGCCTTTATGAATAGGAGTGATGACCCCTCGATTCCATATTGTTGGAATACGGTTCTCCTTCATACAGCAGTTCAGGATTGGCTAGACATGATGTGGGCTAATCGCAGATGTGTCGACACATAAGTGTCAGCCACCTGCTCCAAACCAGTCAACAACTAACCAAGTTAGGTTAGTGAAAGCTGATTGTGTCTCTGAGATGCAATTAAAAAAGCAGATAACGCTGACGAACTAGGTAGTATAACATGCATTCTAATCAACCAGTCTGGGACACTGTTAATCATGACTCATATCCACGTGGAAATGAAGTGACCAGTAGCAATTATTCACCTGACCGTTTCTAGTAAAATGTCAACAGCCAAAAGATAATTGTGGACGATTTGTATGAGAAAGGTCCTGGATACACTTAATAGTTGCAGTGTCCCCTAATTGTCTCAATAGTATAATTGTATCTTCACCTGGATGAACTCCTTAGTATGTAATTACAATCTATCTTATTCCTACCAATCTTACACTCCCGTCTAACCAGTACCATTTTCTTCTCCTTTAGTGTATTGTTTCGGAGATGAACTATCCCTTTCAAGCTGAAATCTCCGCACGGTCGTCGTTGTTCGCAATGATTTTCCACCAAACTGTGCTTGGCCTATTAGCAAAAGATTGTAAATAATAGTATGCATTCGATTCCCCATACCTTATATTCTTGCTTATTTCACTGTTGACCACGCGTGGGCTGAACTGTTGAGGTGACGGATTACAGTTTCCATGATAAAAAATTATACCCAGGCAAAGCATACTGCTACCAACTCGCTGGCAAATAACAAATAATTGTCATACACGAATGATCCACATGACGAACCTGGCTGAGGATTCATTGCCCATAATGCATGCATAAGATAACCCTAACGAAAAAGACATTTGTGAGACAGGTGACGGCTTACATGCTATTTTGCTACACCGGCACACAGCCCGTTGGGGCAATGAAGTGCGGGTGAAACTCATTGAGGGAATAACCCGCATGGAAGCAGATCGTCTGGGGACAATTCCATGGGTGGCCGTCTTACTTTACCTGAACTTCTGGCCTAATCTGCATTCGTTATTGTTCCAAGTTTCTTGCTCCCTCTAATGCTATCAAACTACCATTCACTGTAGAAATCCATTTGGGACCGGTTGTACAAACATGAACAATCATCTATGGGATGCGATCTCGATGTACAACTTGATTAGTCCACGCACTTGCATTGTGCCTCACACCGTCGAGGAATAAAGCATTTCTTTCTTTCTTTAAATGATATGATTAAATAATGAGCTGGCCTTAGAGGAGAAACCACACTGTATTTATTTGTGATCGCTGAGTCATGTGCTTTTGCTAGTTACGTGGAAATTACTAAATTGTTTCAACACATTGGAGTGTTGATCCTGTGTATGTGCAACTCATGAACTACTTTTGTATCCCCTTCAATCTGTTCGAATAGGGTACCACGGTTCGTTGCTGTATCACTCGAGACAAACGTGGAGTGGACCGGGGGATTTTTCCCACCTACTATGTGCATATGGAACAGGAAGATCGTAAATACTTCCTGCTCGCTGCCCGCCGCCGCAAACGATCCGCCACGAGCAATTACATCATCTCTTGTGATGCCACTGATTTGTCACGAAGCGCCGCCAGTTTCGCCGGCAAGCTCCGATCCAATTTCGTGGGCACTCAGTTTGTCCTCTATGGGGGTGGTAAGCGAGCTAACAGACGTCATGATGTACCGTCCTCTGGGCTGCGTTCGCGTGCCAGCCTTCGATCTACCGGGAGCAGTTGTGAATTGACCGAGGATGAGGATGCACAGGATGACTCCAAAGAGTTGGCTGCAATCATTTACGTAAGTGGAACACAATATGGCGTCGTTTTGCATCAGTAATACCATGAAATTAACGCGTGAATATGCATTTTCCGGCGAGTCATGTAATTAAGAGCAGCTCGATAGATGCGCGTATCTCGTTTTGTCTCATCATTGCGGATGCAACAACAAGGACCGATTTATTTAAAGTTCACAGTAGGTTAGGAAGCCAATCACGTGTGGTGAAGTGACTAGCGGTGATGGACCTAGGACCACGGAAACCAAAGGCTGACAAACAATTGTTTTGACACACACCGTGCAGTCTTAGCTGCTTTATCGCCACTGCCTCGGCGAACCGCATGAAGCGTGATGTAGGATGACGTGATATTATTATCCGAAACGCCGAGCCATGGTTAATCTGATGACGAGTCACCAAAGTGTGCCTGCATAGTGATGATGCCAGTGGCTTACAAGGGCACGGAGTATTGGAGGAGGGTTACATTTTCGAAGGAAATCCATCACTGAACAACACACAGCCTGAAAACCAGGGTGTATCTGGAACAAATCAGGACGGTCGCTTCAAGCTTTCAGGAGTCACCAACACTGCGTATTCCATGTGTGGCCTATGGGAATAGGACCCGCACTATAAAACATATTGATTTGTTCCAAAATCCATTAAAAGTTTAAGCACACATTTTACTGATTATTTATTTTAAACAAACGATAATCCTTAGTTAGTTTAACCTCCATTGTTGTTGACGATTTACTGCCAAGCTCAGACACTATATTGATGCTTCTCACAAAATATTAGATAAAGTACTCTTCGAGGTTGTCGCGGCCAGAGAATTTCTTGCCCTTGATGTGATTGTGAAGAGCGTGAAAATTGTCGTACCTGGTAGGAGCAAGATCCGCGCTTCACCCTGGATGCATAATAGCTTGGATACCGAGCTAATGGGAAGCGTGTACATGGCGTTACATCTCATGATACTTTTGTTTTACGAAACGGTATAGACAGATTACTATTGCGGTACTTCACAGTATTTGATTGAATTTGAGCAACCGTACATACTGCAGCAAATGGGCAGTGAAGTTTAGTATCCTGCTCACTTAAGGCACAACGTCACCGTCATTGTTCAGCGAAACACGGTTCAACATGGTTTTCACTATAGTTTATTTTGGCAAGTACGTCTGGTTGAATTCAAGCACTCCTGGTCATCTTATTTACTATGTTTCCTTTGGCTTCCTGTTATTCAGGTGATTAAGCATCTTGGTTTATCTCGTTGTCTAGACTTACGCTAGGTCAGTAATGGAGATTACTTGCAGCGAGTTGCCACGGGCTCAATTGTCTTCATCGTAGTTATCTGTATACCTGGAACAGTAAACATAGCGAAGAAAAGGAGTTACAACTAAGTAAAAATGACGGAATGAATAATATCGATTAAAAGCTACGACAACCAGATAGGGACTCAAGGTACAAGTAAATTCTTCACTGCTGAATTCATACCCAATTTCCATCTACTTTGAATACGGTCCGAGTGATCGTGGTGACTAAGGTTCATTTCAATGTCAATCACAGTCCATTAAGTTGAGGTTGCGTGTCGCAATCCAATCACACAACGTGTAATCCAAACTTGAGCCTCCAATTAGTCATCTACCGTTGTGACAAAAAGCGTTGCCCATCTTGAACCGGTAGCCAAATGGGTAGTAGTGTTGGCTGCTATTCCAATGGTCGTGAGTTCAAATCTTGCTGTCTCCACCTGATGAGATGAAATTACATCGAAACGCGTCATGGTTGTGCAGTGTTTTCGGGTGGGCAATACCCAATTTCCATCTACTTTGAATACGGTCCCAGTGATCGCGGTGACTAAGGTTCATTTCAATGTGAATCACAGACCATTAAATTGAGGTCGCGTGTCGCAATCCAATCACACAACGTGTAATCCAAACTTGGCCCTCCAATTAGTCATCTACCGTTATGACCGGTATGAATGAATTCAGCAGTGAAGAATTTACTTGTACCTTGAGTCCCTATATGGTTCTCATAGCTTTTAATCGATATTATTCATTCTGTCATTTCACTTAGTTGTATCTCCTTTTCCTCGGTATTTTTACCTTTTCTGTTCCAGGTATCCGGATAACTATGATGAAGACAATTGAGCCCGTGGCAACTCGCTACAAGTAATCTCCATTACTGACCTAGCGTAAGTCTAGACATCGGGATAAACCAAGATCCTTAATCACCTGAATAACAGGAAGCCAAAGGAAACACAGTAAATAAGATGACCAGGAGTGCTTGAAGTCAACCAGACGTACTTGCCAAAATAAACTATAGTGAAAACCATGTTGAACCGTGTTTCGCTGAACAATGACGGTGACGTTGTGCCTTAAGTGAACAGGATACTCTAAACTTCACTGCCCATTTGCTGCAGTATGTACGGTTGCTCAAATTCAATCAAATAGTTTGAAGCACGGCGATAGTAATCTGTCTATACCGTTTCGTAAAACAAAAGTATCATGAGATGTAACGTCATGTACACGCTTCCCATTAGCTTGGTATCCAAGCTATTATGCATCCAGGGTGCAGCCCGCATCTTGCTCCTACCGGCTACGACCATTTTCACGCTCTTCACAATCACATCAAGGGCAAGAAATTCGCTGGCCGCGACAACCACGAAGAGTACTTTATCTGATATTTTGTGAGAAGCATCAACATAGTGTCTGAGCTTAGCAGTAAATCGTCAACAACAATGGAGGTTAAACTAATTAAGGATTATCGTTTGTTTAAAATAAATAATCAGTAAAATGTGTGCTTAAACTTTTAATGGATTTTGGAACAAATCAATAAGTTTTATAGCAAGGATCCTGTTCCCATAAGCCACACACATGGAATACGCAGTGTTGGTGACTCCTGAAAACTTGAAGCGACCGTCCTGATTTGTTCCAGATATACCCTCGTTTTCAGGCTGTGTGTTGTTCAGTGATGGTTTTCCTGCGAAAATGTAACCCTCCTCCAATACTCCGTGGCCTTGTAAGCCACTGGCATCATCACTATGCAGGCATACTTTGGTGACTCGTCATCAGATTAACCATGGCTCGGCGTTTCGGATAATAATATCATGTCATCCTACATCACGCTTCACGCGGTTCGCCGAGGCAGTGGCGATAAAGCAGCTAAGACTGCACGGTGTGTGTAAAAACAATTGTTTGTCAGCCTTTGGTTGCCGTGGTCTTAGGTCCATCACCGCTAGTCACTTCACCACACGTGATTGGCTTCCTAACCTACTGTGAACTTTAAATAAATCAGTCCTTGTTGTTGCATCCGCAATGATGAGACAAAACGAGATACGCGCATCTATCTAGCTGCTCTTAATTACATGACTCGCCGGAAAATGCATATTCACGCGTTATTTTCATGGCATTACTGATGCAAAACGACGCCATATTGTGTTCCACTTACGTAAATGATTGCAGCCAACTCTTTGGAGTCATCCTGTGCATCCTCATCCTCGGTCAATTCACAACTGCTCCCGGTAGATCGAAGGCTGGCACGCGAACGCAGCCCAGAGGACGGTACATCATGACGTCTGTTGGCTCGCTTACCACCCCCATAGAGGACAAACTGAGTGCCCACGAAATTGGATCGGAGCTTGCCGGCGAAACTGGCGGCGCTTCGTGACAAATCAGTGGCATCACAAGAGATGATGTAATTGCTCGTGGCGGATCGTTTGCGGCGGCGGGCAGCGAGCAGGAAGTATTTACGATCCTCCTGTTCCATATGCACATAGTAGGTGGGAAAAATCCCCCGGTCCACTCCACGTTTGTCTCGAGTGATACGGCAACGAACCGTGGTACCCTATTCGAACAGGTTGAAGGGGATACAAAAGTAGTTCATGAGTTGCACATACACAGGATCAACACTCCAATGTGTTGAAACAATTTAGTAATTTCCACGTAACTAGCAAACGCACATGACCCAAAGATCACAAATAAATGCAGTGTGGTTTCTCCTCTAAGGCCAGCTCATTACATAATCATTTCATTTAAATAAAGAAAGAAACGCTTTATTCCTCGACGGTGTGAGGCACAATCCAAGTGCGTGGACTGATCAAGTTGTACATCGAGATCGCATCCCATAGTTGATTGTTCATGTTTGTACAACCGGTCCCAAATGGATTTCTGCAGTGAATGGCAGTTTGATAGCATTAGAGGGAGCAAGAAACTTGGAACAATAACGAATGCAGATTAAGCCAAAAGTTCAGGTAAAGTAAGACGGCCACCCATGGAATTGTCCCCAGGCGACCTGCTTCCATGCGGGTTATTCCCTCAATGGGTTTCACCCGCACTTCAGTGCCCCAACGGGCTGTGTGCCGGTGTAGCAAAATAGCATGTAAGCCGTCACCTGTCTCACAAATGTCTTTTTCGTTAGGGTTATCTTATGCATGCATTATGGGCAATGAATCCTCAGCCAGATTCGTCATGTGGATCATTCGTGTATGACAATTATTTGTTATTTGCCAGCGAGTTGGTAGCAGTTTGCTTTGCCTGGGTATAATTATTTTATCATGGAAACTGTAATCCTTTACCTCAACAGTTCAGCTCATGCATGGTCAACAGTGAAATAAGCAAGAATATGAGGTATGGGGAATCGAAAGCATAATATTATTTACAATCTTTTGCTAATAGGCCAAGCACAGTTTGGTGGAAAATCATTGCGAATAACGACGACTGTGCGGAGATTTCAGCTTGAAAGAGATAGTTCCTGTCCGAGATAGTACACCAAAGCAGAAGAAAACGGTACGTGTTAGACGGGAGTGCAGGATTTGTAGGAATAAGATAGATTGCAATTACATACTAAGGAGTTCATCCAGGTGAAGATACAATTATACTATTGAGACAATTAGGGGACATTACAACTATTAAGTGTATCCAGGACCTTTCTCGTACAAATCATCCACAATCATCTTTTGGCTGTTGACATTTTATTAGAAACGGTCAGGTGAATAGTTGCTACTGGTCACTTCATTTCCACGTGGCTACGAGTCATGATTAACAGTGTCCCAGACTGGTTGATTAGAATGTATGTTATACTACCTAGTTCGTCAGCGTTATCCGCTTTTTTAATTGCATCTCAGAGACACAATCAGCTTTCACTAACCTGACTTGGTTAGTTGTTGACTGGTTTGGAGCAGGTGGCTGACACTTATGTGTCGACACATTTGCGATTAGCCCACATCATGTCTAGCCAATCCTGAACTGCTGTATGAAGGAGAACCGTATTCCAACAATATGGAATCGAGGGGTCATCACTCTTATTCATAAAGGCGGTAGTCCCACTGACCCAACTAATTACCGTCCTATACCGCTACGCCCTGTGCTTTCCAAGGTTATGGAGTCTATCATCATTGGTGCACTCACGCAGTATCTGGAAAATCAAAAGATAATGGCACTAGAGCAACATGGCTTCCGACAAAATCGCTCATGCACTACGAACCTGCTAATTGCAAGCAATAGCTGGACTGAAGCAGTTGATGGTGGAGCAGAAGTCGATGCACTATACCCAGAATTCTCAAAAGCATTTCATCCATTAGACCACCGAATTCTCCTTCATAGACTTCAGCATTTATGGCATTGGTGATCTACTGCTGCGTTGGATAGACAATTTCCTGCACGTACATCGGCTGGAAGTGAGAGTACGAGAATCCCTATCCGACGCAATTGAGGTGGAGTGCGGCGTACCACAAGACTCGGTGCTAGGGCCCCGTCTACTCTTGATTTTCATAAACGATCTGACGAGGGCAATTACTTCCGGTTTCCTATTCTTCGCGGATGACATAAAGTTATGGCGAGCGATCAAAGAATCGAATGATCAGGAAATGCTCCAGCGTGACCTCAACACGATTTCAAACTGGTCAGTTCTGAATACACTACCGTCCAATGTGGAAAAAGGTCACTCGTCAAAGGCATATCTAGGTGTGTAGGATTGGGTCATATGTATTGCAAACAATTTCCCAAGCACGCGACCTTGGTGTGTTTATTCAACGTGACCTTAACTGTTCCAAGCAGTCAGAGAAGGCTGCGTAGAGTCAACCAGCATGTGGGCTTGCTGCGGAGAGCATTCGGAAGATTCGACCTATCCATTTTCCCATAATGCACAATTCTTACATGCGCCCTCACGTTGAATACGTCATTCAAGCTTGGCAACCCCGGTTGATGTGCGATTCAGAAGTGCTAGAGGAACCACAAGGCAGGGCAACGAAGAACGTCAATGGCCTACGAAACCTGTCTTACCATCAAAGTCTGAAGTCACTGGGAGTTTTCAGTGGCCGCTACCGAAGGCTGCGCGGCGATCTCATATTAGTCTACCAAACATTAAGTGACCCTAAGCACGTGTGCCGTCACTTGCTGAAATTCAGCAATAACAGCAATCTCAGAGGTAACCCTCTGAAATTATGTGCACAGTATAGCTGCCTGGAATGCCGGTGGAATTATCTATCTTTTCGGGTTTGTCAACCCTAGAACTCTCTCCCAAACTTCGTCCTTTTCTCCTCACCTTGGATGTTTTCAAAAAGCGATTGGATCTTTCACTTGGCCCACATCACTTCTTCGCCTAAACTGTGCAATTTTGGAATACATTAATTATCCCTCCAAACCAGATTAACATGTTACGTAGACCTGAAGGGGCGGTATAGCAGTGAGTATTCTCGGTTTTACGTTTCTCTCGGAGTACAACAACCATACCTGTTCCCATTTTGCCTCGTCTTTCGCATTCAATTCCCATCTACACTGCAGCAGGGCATCTGCTAGATAAACGCTCAAACAGACAACTCACCTATCTTTTGATAATTGTAGTTTTACCCCCACCATCCTGCGGGACTTGTCATGCAACTGCTTTTTTATCCGGCATAAATCATTGTTCAATGTAAACGCAAGTCGCTTATTGCCTCAGCATAAAAGCCACAGTTGCTTTGTAGTTTAGCAGTTTGCTAGTTCCACACAGCCCTCACTTCACTAGCTAACGCAAGCAAACAACCAGTACTTTAACCGTGGTGCAATAAAGAAATAAATACTATATCCTCGACATAGCGAGGCATGCGTGGTTAGGCATAAGCATAGCAACACCAAGACGACTGAATGGCAAGTGTACAATAATGTTGCAAGGTTAACAATAACATGTTGGATCTGTGGCGCATATTTTGTGTTTGTCGGTCTGAATGTTTTCAGCGGTGTTGCTTGCATTTGGAGACGTGACGACGTAGTTGTGTTTGTGTTCTGTCGGGCCGTGTACTTGAGAAGGACTGGAAGGGAAACTTCGTACTGGATGACTGACGTCCGTGGAGTGTGTTGGATGACTGATGTCCGTGGAGTGTGTATGGCAGTGACTATATGTAGCGTGCCCCATGCTGAGGCTGATGTTGCATTCTTGATGCTTCTTCACCGCAGTTGGGCTAAACCAACTTACACTTAAACTAGGTCTTTTTAAGCTGGTTAAATTTCATTCCGCTTTATTTGGTTTGTTCTGCCTACCTGAGTACTCTTCTATTAACTGGCCACGTTGCTTACACTAATTGCGCTTATCTTCGGTAATTTTGTTGCGTTTGTAGCATTTTAAGTAACTTGTGGACATTTCTTACTTATCACGGATTTTTTGCTGACCGACTTACTTCATATGGTAATTTAGCGAAGTTATGCCACCGTATCTGTATGCATTATTGGATTTATTTTATTTCAGCTTGATGTTTAAAGTGAATGGCTGTTGTTTGATATCCCTGGTATGGTTGCGCTTGATGTGTATGTTGACAAGGTGCCTACCTGTCTATTACCCACTACATCGTTCATACTGCCTCCAGGAGACAGTTGGTCGTTGCTGGTGGGGACGGGGTGCACGGTTCTTGTGGCCGTGTTAGGCTCAAAGAGCGGTTCCATGCACTCAGTGTGGAGCGGACTACGGTCCAGCCACCGCCTTGTGTGCGCTTGATTCCCCAAATACAGCGTGCTTGTGTTTGCCTGTGAAGCAGTGTGGGCCGGCTCCGTTGATGAAACGTGGTTCCCATCCGCATGCCTCCCGGTCTTATTCCTTCGGGTTTACACTGGATATGGGGTGTGTGGTTGGAGCTGTGGGTGGTGCAGCGCAAGCCATCCATGGTCCCTCTGTAGGCGCAGGCGTCCTGTGGCTTGCCACAGTGACAGGCAAATCCGAAACCGGATGCCGCCAACCATATGTAGTGAAGGTGCGCCATGCTGAGGCTGATGTTGCATTCTTGATGCTTCTTCACCGCAGTTGGGCTAAACCAACTTAAACTAGGTCTTTTTAAGCTGGCTAAATTTCATTCCACTTTATTTGGTTTATTCTGCCTACTTGAATACTCTTCTATTAACTGGCCAAGTTGCTTACATTATTTGGGCTTATGTTCGGTAACTTTGTTGCGTTTGTAGCATTTTTAACTAACTTGCGGACATTTTTCCTTATCGCGTATTCGTTGCTAACCAACTTACTTCATATGCTAATTTAGCAAAGTGTTATGCCACCGTGGAGAGTCACATCCGTCACGTGGCCGTGTTGTTGTTGATGTTTATAGGGAGAACGCTTGCTAGACGGAAACCCACCAACTCCTGAAAAACTGCCGCCGAACAACCATTGGAACAGGATTAAACCGAAACATCCAACTGACACCACGAGGAGGCTGCTCGGCTGACCAGCCCAATGATCGTAACACCCGGTATTCCAAACCCGTCACCCATGCAAGTACTAACCTAGCCCAACGCTACTTAACTTCGGTGATCCGACGAGAACTGGTGTTTCCAGCGTGGTATGGTCACGGCCATCAGTTTAATGAAAACATTTCACGTGTTACT